ATTGACTTTAAGGTAAGGTTACGGAAGTTAATGATTGAACAAGCCTTATTATTTTTCAAATAACGATGAATCTGACAAATTTTTGTTCCTAATGTTCAGTATAGAACGCTAAAATACGATTCATGAAGTTTCGCATGAATCTAAAATTAAATTAAAATTTCGGTAAAAATATAGTTACGGAAGTTAACGTAACGGAAGTTAATTCCCCAGCAATGAAAGTAAAAATTATCGGCGATAGTTACAATCAAGGCTTGTTTTCGGATATTAAACAAAAGTATGAAGCATTTTGCTCCTAAAATAATAAAAATTGTATATCTTTCATGCAAAATCTTTCCTGAAATAACGTTACGGAAGTTAAATTTTTAAGAGAGACAACAGTTTTCTAGATCTGTAATTCACTTTGTCATTTCGAAAATTTAATCGCCCAAAATAGCTGACAATCTACTAGAATCAAAGATTTAAGGTTCCATGGTCACTTTCAGGTAAGTTTCAGTTCTTTTTATACCCCCGCTTGAAAAGTGGGAGGGTATACTGTAATCGGTATGTCTGTCCGTCCGTACGCCTGTACGTATAGCTGTCCGTCCGTCTGTTGCGCTTAGGGGTACCCATCTCCTATCCGCAACTTCTCCTATACCACTGAGTGAAATATAATGAAACTTTCACAGAATCTTTATTACATATTGCCGTTGTGCACTTCCTATTTTACTTTTTGATCCAACACGTATTTTGGGTTTTCCAGCCATAGCAAAACATGGACTTTGCCATTATAACCATATGGGAGGCAGGGGGTATCATTTAGTGAGCTCATTGCTCATAATACCTCTAGTTGAAATCTGCATTCTGTTCGTTAAATTAAAAATAAAATGGTTACGGAAGTTAATCGATTTTTAGCAACATGCAATGATTTCGCATGAAAGAATATCCATGTATTTCTTTGCGAGAAGTGGTTTGATTTCATTTTATATAGGATAAAAAACTTTATTTAACATTCATAGCATTTTGTTTGTGACTCTTTTACGGCTGAGAGTTCCATCTTGAGATTGTAAATAAATGAAGCGACATGAAGATTTGCAGCTGAATTCGTTTTTCAACATTACATTATTTTCTTATCGAAACTTTAACTACATATATATAGGTAAATATTTACAAAACCATATATGTGTATGTTGAGACTGACGGTTGAAATCGATCATAAAATTTATAATCAAGATATTGAAACGGTATATATTTGTAATCGACATAGAAAAATCTTAATTGGTCATGTTTTTTGTAAAATGACTAAATAGTCGCCCACGTGGCGCAGTTGTTTGAGCGTCTGCTCTAGAGTCGCGAAGTCAGAAGTTAAATTGATCCTTATACGTCGCAGGTTCGAATGCAATTTCTCTTTCAGCAATAAGTCCGACGAAAACATCTTTCCGAATTCATTCTTCGTAAATCTGCAGATACGTTTTCAACATTGTAATTCAGCAAAGAAACCTATACTGTACTGCGAAATTAGACGTTATCTTGAAGTGGCACACATAATACCCCTTATGATTTTTAGAAAGAAGAACAACTAAAACTAGAGAGTCTGCTATTGCAAGCAATAGCGTATGTCGCCCCGAACGGTTTCCCTATTTCCATGGCAACTACAGTGTATTGATAATTGTATTGAGACTTTCATTTTTTGTATCATTAAAACAATACCCATTAGCTCAGAAAGTTAAATTTTCACTTTTCCCCTATTTTCCAATTTTTAAATCGAATGAGCACAATTACAGTTACTAATCATAACATCAATAAAATTTCATGAAGAATGTTCAAGGGAGCAGAGAGTACTTTCAGTACTTTGATTTAAAAATCAAAGTTAAATTTTCATTTTTCCCCTGTTTCCATGGAAACAATTGACAATTTCTAATTTTTAAATCCAATGAGCACAATTACAGTTCTAATCATTACATCAATAAAATTTCATGAAGAATGTTCAAGGGACCAGAGAGAACACTCGCGGACAAAATTCGTAGCTTTTTGCAGGTTTCCATGGCAACGGTAACCATTTTGAAACTGAATGACCACACAACACAACTACAACCAGTGATCCTCCTTTGAAGAAAGTTTCAGGAATAATGTCCAAGCCATCTCCGAGAAACAGCTTGTATAACAAAAACATGCATACATTCGCGATATGTCGTCCCGACTTCGTTCGGGGCGACATAATAAGAGCTAATAAAATCTTTATCAAATAAGGAATTCGACTTCCCTATACACGTATAATCGATTTAGCAGTGGTATTTTTTTTGTATGAGGACACTTTAATCGGAGACGTAGAGGTAAGTGATTTTACACATAAATTTATTTCATATTAATTTTTTTCAATAAGTATCAACTCTGAGAGCAACATTTATATTGTATTTTTAAAATGAAATAAAATGACATCCGTGTGCTACTCTGTAGAGGATGAAAAATATCAATACTGTCAACAAATATTCATAAAGGTCAAAAGGGCCATTCTTTTATATGTGGCCAAAACTTATAATTGAGGATATTAGTTAAAATATATGCAGACAATAAAAAAACAAAATAGAGGCATTTAAGTAATAACAAACTCCTCCTGTGGTTCAAAAGATTGTAAAATAACTAATTTTATCTTAAAATTACAGAGATATCTCTCATTTTAGAGAGATATGTCTTAAAAAATAGGGATATCTCTCAATTTAAAAGTGAAATTTTAGCAAAATCAAGAGAACAATATATCACTAAGTGATGGTATCACTGAGATTAAATTTGACCGTTTAATATAAGAGGTAAGGTCAGGTCAAGGTTATTACCTTTTCCCTGGACAAATACTGTTTCCAATCATGCGATCCCTACTTGTATTTAAAAAGATTGTATGTTTTTCTTTTTGCATAAAAAGATACTACCGTATGGGGCCTATAAGATGATATTACTAAATTCACATAAATAATTTAACTAAAATGGATATTGGCCAATCCGAATTTTCTCTATTTTTCTTAAATTTTGAGGATATATTAGCTATTTTATATGCTTCCTATATTTAATTTTTTCTCATTTTCACATACAGTAAAGTTGTTACATAAATATACAAAATGATATAAAAAACAAAACAAAAAACTAAGAGAGAAATAACACTTTTTACATATTTTTGGCTCAAATCTGTACTTAGATTTGAAGCATTTAAAAGCCAATATAGTTCTAGTTTGTTTGAAAAATCTTATTTATTTGATATACGAGGTTTGATCCAAAAGTAATGTCACAACTTTGATAAAATTCTATAAATCGACGTAAAGCAACAAAATTAATTATACATGATTGAAGCTTTATTTATTTCAAATCAGTCCTGAAAAAATCAATGGAATATGATGTATACTTTAAAAAATATAGGATTTTAAACAATGCGCGTTTGTGGTAGTCGCCGCACCTAAATATAATGTCATATGACGGATACACACCGTCATACTTTTAAGCGTTTCCCCCTCGTTTCATGGAAAAAATGATTTGTGATTCGCAAACACTTTCAACAATTCCACTTTCTTTAAGAATTCTTGGTACCATTATACACACACTCTTTTCATAATTAAGCTCTCTGTCAAAATATTTTGAACAGTAGCATAAAAATTCACATTTCACTCCATATGTCTGTCTTTTCGTGACAACGTCAGACACAACTGAACCTTTCCGTCCGATCTCATAACTTTTGGTCCCCTTGTTCTCTGCTAATCATTCAGTGACCAATCACCCGCCCAAAATTGCTGAAATTATCTATTAAAATGTCAGACTGTCTTATTTACATTCTTTATTCTGTATGTCTGATTGATTAACGAAAATGGCTTTAGTGATGATTCCCATATTTTGATGCAAAAACGCAGATTACAACTCGTCGAGCCTTTTTTCCCCATTTCGACAATCCGTTTGTTTAATTCAACAGAGTAAAACAACAATGTTTATGATCACAAATACCAATGCCGTCATTTAATTTTCATGTGTTTGTCTTTTTCATTCTAAAAAAAACTTTATCACGTGACATTCCGTTGTGACGCGGTGACACCACCTATGCTCTATGTTTTAAACATCTATAAAATAAATTCAAATAAATATTATTAAATTAAAATTTCAATGTTAATTGGATTTATATTTGTGCATCTTTTGGTATAATGTATTTGATAATATGACGCCAAATGTAAAAGATATGGACACAGTGACATTACTTTTGGATCAACCCTCGTATTTTGAAACTAGTCCCTTATTAATTTAACTTACATTTGAAAATTTCTTTTCAAGTCTTTAATTGTGTAAAAATTATTACTAAATTCATTGTTCTATAATAATTTTGAGAGACAGAAAAAGACGATATTTTCATATGCCACCATTCCGCCAAAAATATGGTCCCTGCTAGTTTTCAAACGCAGCTTACCGTTTCTATTTCAAGTTGTACAATTGTGACGAGGAAAGAAAAATATGGCCTTTTAAATCTCCTATACCTAAATATATGACATATAAGCAAATATGCTTTATATAATATTTCATGTAGTCAGAAACCAGAAAAGAATCCTACCTTAAACACGTTCAAAGTAAACACAGATACTCAAGTTTTTATTTTTTAAATTTCAGAGGATTGTTTTCTTAAAGAACAGGATACTCCACATTATGGACATTAAAGAGTGCAACATCCCAAGTAAAGTACCTCAGTGTTTTCAATGTCAGGAGGAAACAGAATTCTACTGTAACACTTGTAAACTTGATCTTTGTCTACCGTGTAAAGATAGGCATGTTACTAACTCCCATACAAAAACCATAAAGTGGTATTTTATAGAACAAAGCATTGCAAAGATGGATTTACTATACAGTGTAAAGTACGACTGTGTACTAGATGTAAAGGGGACACAGAATTCTACTGTAACACATGTGAACAAGACCTGTGTCTACATTGTAAAGAGAGACATGTGATCGATCTCATATACTATGATGTTGTTATTTACGGTGAAAAATATGAAAATGTCCTCATGCAAGAGATCTGTGTAAGGCATCAAGATATGATTTATGATAAGTACTGCCAGTCATGTGAACTTCCTATTTGTGTCAAATGCACAGAACAAGGCAATCCCATAATATTTTCCCCTTTCCCCCAGTGGATAAATCAAAGTAAACACAAGACTCTGCATGACATCAGGACAGCTTATAAAACATACCGTCAACAACACAGAGAAATCATCCATACCAACAGGAGTGAAACTCTATATAACAGCTGTTTTCTCCTATCAAGAATCAAAACTGATTTAAAGACTTGTCACAAAGAAATCGCCAACCATCTGCATGTATCAGAAATGTCAGCGAAAGCCCAGAAACTAAAAGACCTCATTGACACTGTAATATGTGATGTTAAAAAGAGACACGAACGTTTTATTAATAGAAAACAACAACACAAACAAATGAAAAGATACGTTGCCAACATTGAGGACTTTGAACACAGATTTGAACATTCAGCAAACAGACCTTTTATATTCCTCTTATTCCTAAAGAAAACATCTGTCAAAAAACAATTTTCTCATCTTAAACAGCATGATATATTCTATCTGATCGAGGAAATAAAAATGGAGCATGTGATAAGATTACTTAGTGAAATTCATGTAACAGAAAAAGGAAAAAGACAAGTAAGAAATGAATGTTTTCTGGAACTAATGCCTAAACCTTTGTTGCAAAAATCTTTCACAGTGAAAAATATTTCTGATATTAAACACATTTCCATTGTGACATCAGAAAGGGTTTGGGTCAGTAGTGGATTCGATCTTATACTGACAAACACAGAAGGGGATGCACTACACCACCTGCCAGATATGGGTAGTATTTATGGGGGACACACAGTGAACATTACAGATGATCTCATTTATATTGACAAGGTTTTAAACATAAAGAAACTATCAAAAGATAACAGATCGCAGTCAATACTAATAGAGCATTCAGGACCATGGAAACCAGTCTGTATCTACTGCTCCCTATCCAGTGACGACCTACTGGTTGGGATGATGGATTTCACGCAAACTAGCAAGGTAAATCGTTACAATAACACAGGACACCAATTACAGACTATACAACATGACAACAATGGTCAGCAACTGTATAAGTGGGCTAGATACATCACAGAGAACCGCAATGGAGATATTGTTGTGTCTGACTATAACCGTGGTGTAGTGGTAACAGATAATAAAGGAAGTTATCGCTTCTCCTACACAGGAATTCCTTCAAATTCACTAATTAAACCACGACCATTTGGGATCTGTGCAGACACGCTTTCACACATCCTGATTTTATATTGTGATCACCACACCAGCACAGTGCACATAATTGACAAGGATGGTCACTTTCTGTTACTGATACAGAAGCCCGAATTATCCCTACTCGTTCCATCATGTAGCCTGGGTATTGATGACAAAACACATCTTTGGATCGGATCGTGCGACAAAGCATTTATCTACAGCTACTTAACCAGACAGGACAAGCTGCCAGGGAATGTTAAAATGTGAGAGAAGTATCATCAGATTGGTAACTTATATATACATGTATATACAGCTCAACGCACTTTTTAAACTCACATGCTTTTTCGCACAAATATTAAAGGTCACATTGTTATAATGCAAAAATGTGTAACGTGACAACAAAATATATTTAAAAAATGATTTATCACTTAATTTTGACCATAATCCATTACTTTAGACATAATTCACACATAATAATTGGTAGGAAATTTATGCTTTTTGGATGATATATTATGAGAGTTCCCAAATGGGTTTTTCATGGTTTCTCGTCAAATGCAACTGTCTTTGTATCCGTTCATTTTAAAGCATACTTTTGCCTCACCTTTATACAGAAACAGTGCAGTTCATGTTACTTCTGTACTTTCTGTACATATATATGACACTAAGGCGCAAGATGATACAAGTATTTCTCATCTGTTTGACTGCTTTCCATGTTAAGGGGGATGTACGGCCACCTTTAGTGCAGTGAGAACAAAATGTAAACATTTCTCCAAATGGCTAAAATACATTATATTTTGATCAAATTTTAAGTCCTTATGATAAAGACACAATAAATATGTATAACTGAATGCATGTTGTACATATATAATCTATACTTTTGCAGAAAAATGTTTTTGATATGCTCCTTAGAACTGCGCAGCTACAGAATTCAGCAGAGCCTTAAAAATCCAAAAAAATATGCAAACTGTGCATTAATGTTCTTTCTACAACCATTTGTTGAGAAAATGTCTAAATATTGCACTTTTGATTGATAATTTCAAGTTCAAAACAAGGTACCGTTGTCTTCAAAAACAGAGTAAAGAACCATGAAAGTAGTTCATGGATAGCAGCACGTGGTCTATTTTTAGCACAGAATTTTGTTTTCCAGACCTCTTATTAATATGGAGGGACATAACAATCTTTGTGTTTACAGTTGCAAAATATTTCAAATAGAACACTTTTAAAAGAGGAAATGTGTTATAGTGTGGCTTGAAGTAATTTATTTAGTATTATTATCGAACAGTTGTTAAATAGTGTACGCATTGATATAAAAAAAAAATCTTAAACTCTTTGATTCCAGGTAAGGAAAAATGAGCCCCATCAAAGTTAAAAATTAAGAGTTTGTAAGTTTGCGACAGATAACTTATATTATCTATCAAAATTTTAATTATCACCAATGAAACACAAAGAAATTAGACACATAAAATCGATATGAATGACCTTGTTTTAGTACTTACTAGTACGAGGGTTTTGCTTTTGAAGTAGCGTATAAGAATTTGTTCACAATTTATTAAGACAAATGACTTCCTATAATTTCAATCAATGATTGGATAGATCGTTTTAGTGAAGGAAGGCAGATGGTCAAATATGATACATGTACTTGTTATGTTGCCCGGTGAAAGCAAGTTTGAAAAGGGGTGTGTTTTTAATTAAGCAATATGCTGTCAAAGACCTCCAATTTTCACTTTGAAAAATAGTTGAATATTTCAACAATAATATAACTATCAAATACCTAAGATATCGTATACTTTTTGATCACCCCTTGTATACTGTGTCAAATAAACATGTACAATTTTCATTACAGCGGAGCTACATTTGAAAAGGAATGAAATCATTCAGAGTGGGTTAAGAGATTTAATGAAAAAAAAAGACTTTTTTCTATTTGCCCATATTGTCAAAATTACAATTTTACAAAGTAAAGAAAAAAAGCAACATAATTTTCAAATATTTTATACCATCTTTAAAATGACGTTTGGTGGTCCTCCCAACTGAGGGAAAAATTATTGTGTCCGTATTTATTGGTGAGTCGGGCCATTTCTAGGCAGTAGATCGGGAGAGAGGGCAACCAAATATTTTTATAACAAGTGGTCTTATAAGGCTAGTACATGTTCCATCACATACTTAGTCATGCAAATTTTTTTAATCTTTGGCACTATTTTGAAAAACAAACATAGGATTTTCGGGGGGGGGGATGTAAGACATGTAATTACAGTTTGTGTTTTATGCAACACATATTGTTTAACTTTTTCAAATTAAATGCTAAGTATCCTCTTTGCAGTGCCCCATTTGAAAATAACTTCTATCGTCACAGAAAAAAGACCCGCCGTAAACACATTTTTTTTTCTTTTTTCTTGAGTTTTAAAGAAACCAACAAATTATCAAGCCTTGTTCCATGAAAAATTAAATATAATCATGGTAATAAACGCATCTATCCACAGCAGATATCTGCACATGCCAACCACGTGCTCAGTGGAATGATATTTACGAGGAAACTCGAGCTGTAAACAGAACAGTTTTTCCCGATTTGCTGGAGTGGGGTTAAAATCGCCTTTTTTTCATTAATCAGACGATGCGATGCAACAAATAAAAGTAGTAAGTAATATAACCTAATGATTTTTACTTATTAATTTCTAGTCTTCATGGTATTATGGTGGCATTTATTCTAAAATCAATGTTATTCGAACTCTGTGTGACAGAGGAATGGCGGACGAAATAAACACAGGGCCTAAGGAAGACACCCATATGAAAAATCAAATTTTCAAGAATTATGTATAATGACAAGAAAAAAGTGAAACAAATGTTGTAGCCATATTATCAATGAATCGAACTAACACCATTTTCAATGCATTTTTCATCTCGTGAATGCTGTAGCTGCGCAGTTCTAACATGATTAATTTCCTCCAAATTAAAACAAAATAAACTTAATTATTTACTAATTTTGGTCTCTAACAGTAGGTAATTAGTGCATTAGCACTTTGAGTAACTTTGGGCTAGTTTAGTAGAGTATTAAGCGCATTCTTGGTATTTCTTATTTTACACCAGACTAGATCCAATATGGCTTGTACATCCCCCTTAAAAAGCTTTTTTTTTAGGTAAACTTCCTGAAATCTAGCATCAAAAATGAAACCTTCCAACGCAATTTTTTAAAGTTTCAGAACATAAATATACTAGTAAAAGAATTTTCTTTTCAATATTGACATTTTTGACATATGTTCAAAGATAAACAATACTTCATTATCCTATCCTTTCACATGATTTCTTTATGCAGTTCTGTCATTTTTCGGCGCTGCATCTCGACAAAACCAAGACAAGTATGGAAAATGTACGAAGTATCTAGAAAAATACTCATCTGTAAGAAGTCAATTTGTACATTTCAGCCAAATAGTATCAAAGAAAGTTCGATTAATTAATTTGTAAATTTCTATGATAGAATCATACATATAATATTTAACATCATACTATTTTTAAACAATTTCCCTTTTAGAACATTGACTTTTAAAACCTAAGATAATGATTTTAGAGAATATGCACCTTTAACATGAAATGTTTGATAATATAAGCGTTATGTCTCTCGCCTTACTAGCAAAGCGTATTCCACCACCACACTAGCAAGGCGTATTCCTTCTTACTTACGATAGACGTATTCTGCCTTACTAGCAAGGAGCATTCCGGCTTAATGGTTAAACGGATTTTGCATTAATGGTTGTCAATCTGCCTATCACAGTGTATCAGCAATTGGAAGAAGAAAAAAATATACATAATATATATCATTTATTTATAAGGTCGTAATAAATTAATGTCTACAAATCTTTTACATCTTAAAATACCGGTATCATGTCTTCCCTTCACATGAAATTAAAAGATGAAAAATGTTATACAAGAACATGATATTTCTTCATTCAGCTACAATATATAAAAATGTGACTGTCGCAGTTGAATATACAAATGAAAAAGAAAAACAATTTGAAAACCATTGCTTGGAAGTCAATTCAACAAAACAATTAGCTGTTGATTTTCTACTGGCTGCTTATTCTCACAAAATTCTTTCCGACTGCGAGGAAAGAGCGTTCCATTTCTATCGTTCTTCTTCCCTAAAGTATTTCAGGTATTTGAAATTATATTTTTAATGATTCCAACTTTCGTTTGCCATTCTTTTCACACAACATATTAAAGAACTTTATAAGGAAAACACAATTTGAAATGAGTTTCTTATTTTAATAAAAGGACTCTTCAACATTTTTTAATAAAATGATGCATTTATGACAGAATGCAAACAGTGTGACGTCATAATAAACATTTCCCGTATAAAGGGAGACCCCCTTTCTCATTACTGTTGAAAAATATATTACTGACAAAAACACTCGGGCAGTTTGATTAATAATTGACAAATAAATGAGTATTTTTTTTATCCTTTGACTCTGTTCATTTTAAAAATTCTAATCTAAAATGACATACCCATAACACAGATATTGAAAATAAATGTTATGCTGATGCAACCCTACTTTGGAAAAAATAAAATGAATCCCAAAAATTTTAAAAATATCTAGGTCGATGTAGAGCATATGTGAATATGAATAAGGATACTCCATACTCCTTGACAATTACAAAAGTATCCTTAGGGAATGTAGATTCAAGTTGATCCAATCATGACCCATAGGGGTCGGACAGAACGTGTCACAAAGGGGGGGGGTTCAAGGTTTACCATAGAAATATTTAGGAAATATTTTAAAGAATCTCTTCTCAAGGGCAGCTGAGCCATTATCATGCTTATAATAAGATTTTGGACAAATCCTGCTTCACATGAAGAAAAAAAAAGTTCTGCTAATAACGGGGGGGGGGGGGGAATAAATTGGTACCCATAGGATTTTCAATAGATTGTTGGAAGACTGGTATCCAAAAACCGCATATATATTGTCAATCAGAAACTCAAGAATTTTTTTGATATCAACTTCAAATTAGTTGTGTATACAATCAGAATGTTTTTTAACAAAATATTTTTGCAAATGACCAATATTATTACAAGATAAGTAAATTTAAGAGTTCCGTTTTTATTGAAAAAGCAGTTGTTAATGATATCAAAAAGCCTTGACTTTAATTTATCGTGGGGAATGTTTGTGTATAAAGTTGATGAGTCGTATTACTAAGTTCTTAAGCTGTTTTATATATGATCTATGTACATGTATTACCTGTTATATACTTTTTACTCATTTCTCCTTTATATAGTACAG